CCATTTATTGAGTGGAGAACTTGTTATTTTGATTCTGAAGTTTTTAGTTCTTTATATACTCAGGATGTTAATCCTCTCTCAGATAAATAACCAGTTATACTGAATTATAAGTCTAATTTTCACATACATGTACATGCTTTTAACACATTTCAATCATTTCTGAATCCCCATCACCGCCTTTGTCTTTACCATTTCTCTCCCCTCATTCTTTTCCTCTTGTCTAACAGCATCCTTTTTCTTTTATGTTCTCTTCTCTTTTTCTAAATCAATGTCACTTTAATTTGTATTCCCTTGATGATAAAGATGTTGAACATGTTTTTATATAGCTATTGGCCATTTGTGTGTCTTATTTTTAGAAGTCTGTTGAGTTCTTTTCCTTGTTTATTGATTGGGTTATCTAGTATTTTTGATATTTAATTTTCCTTATATATTGTATATATTAGTCCTGTCTTGGAAAAACACCTGGTAAAGATTGTCTTCTATTCTGTATGGTGTGTCTTGGCTCTGTTGGCCGTTTCCTTTCCTGTACAGAAAATTTTAATTAGATGCCATCCCACATGTCATTCCTTGTTATTATTTCCTGAGCTGTTAGAATCCTATTTGACTGACAAAGATTTTCTCCCATTCTCTAGACTTTCTCTTCATTCTGTTTTCTTTTCTGCACAGAATATTTGCTCATTTTAGCATGGAGTAATTCACTTTGTCAACTCTTATATTCTGAGCTGTCACAGACCCATTCAGGAAATGATGGCATATAGCAATATCCTGAGGTATTTCCCGTTTTCACTAGTGGTTTTGAAGTTTCCAATTTTATATTGTCTTTGACCTACTTTGACCTGAGATTGATTCAAAGTTAGAGGTAGGGATTTAGTTTCAGTCTTCTCCACTTGGATGTCCACTTTTCCCAGCATCATCTCTCCACCAGGATATCAGTTGCTTTGTCAAGAATCAGAAGGCTGATCACTTCTCAGCCTTTTGGCTGAGCGCAAATGAAGAATCAGAAAACTGTGGCTTCTCAAAACAGAAAGGTGGAATTAGGCACAGGGTTTTGCACACATACTTCCAAACACACACTCACACACACACATGTGCACATGTGCACATACATGCATACATGCTCACAATCACCAGTGTTTGTTCCCTTCATGCTCTACAATAGGTGTCATGATTTGCTTCCAACTCTCTTTTGAAGATCTTGAAGAGTCTTGTCTCTCTTTGAAATAAGGGTTTTCTTCATTACCATGAAAATCTCAGTTCTCTAACAGGCTCTAAAAAGTGATCATTTTATAGTTTAATTAACTTTTGTAAATTTTTAGGGTGGAAATGACATCTTTACATTTTTCTCTTCCCTAAAAAAATAGAAATCTATATGGACTTTTCATATGGAAAATCAACTCAAAGTAGAGTGTTACTTGTGTAATAACTCCATTTTATCCCATGAGTCATGACTTTAGTTATCTATTGAATCTAATTCTGAACTGGAATCAAATGCATTCTATTTCAAGGACTAGTTTTATTTCATAGAATATCATTTGATGCCCTAGCCTTGGATTGCTATATTGATATTGGTTTGTACTAATATCAAAACTAACAACATTCACTAGATTTAAATAGCTTATCTTTTCAGGAATAAAATTACATTTCTTTCATAAAATCATATAACTCTTTTAGGCTATGTTAAAATACACACACACACACACACACACACACACACACACACACACACGACCAGCCATCAGCTTTATATTTTTAAGGAAAATTTGTCTTTTACTTGCTTAATAATTTTCATGATGTGTCTAAGTACTTTATATGCTGGATAAAGTTATATTGAGCTAGGCAAAAACATGGCTTTGAAATACTCTATCAAATTTCCTTACAAATTTAGGTGCATTTAATTTTAGACAGTAATACAATGACAAATTTTCTCATTATTTTTATTTCAAAAATTACCAATGGCAAAGAAAGCTATAGTTAAGCATCATGTGTTCATTGAACACCTCTGGTTAGATTTACTAATATGCATAGTGCACTGTTACTAGAAAATCCTTTTGAAAAGCATAGATTTCTATAATATTATTAGTAATAAATTAACTTAGACATTTTTTAAAAATCTTAAATTATATGTGTGATTGCTGATCTTCATGTGGGACCTTTAGCAATTCACTATACCTACAATTGTCCTCCACATTACCATGTTAAAATATGAGTGCTAGATGAAGATATCTTTCAAGATCTTTTATGATGCTATGGTTTGAGGTAAACAGATCTGGTCAGTGGAACAGAAGGTCAGTTTTCTTTTTTTTTTTTTTCTTTTTTTTAAAAATTTATTTATGTGTGTGTGTGTGTG